TCTCTCTCTCTCTCTCTCTCTCTCTTTCTCATTGGCCCGACGCTCCGTCTTAATCTTGCATCTATATTACTTTGCCTCCATCGCATTCACCCGCCGCATCTACAGCCATGATCTACGAAGTCGCCGCCGCCGTCGAACACATCGTCAGCCTCATCGCACACGTCGAGCGCACCTCGCCCGTCCCCACCGAGGCGCTCGCCGCATTCGCTTCCACGCTCAAGGATGCACTCGAGACGCGCTGTCAGCGCTGCTGGCACGCCGCCGAGCCAGAGCGAGGCTCCGCACAGCGCTCCGTCGCATGGCAGCTCCATCCCGCAGGCGAGGGTGCCGACATCGACCTCCTCCGCGCCTTCGCCTCGGTGCTCGCTGCCAAAGCCGACGAGGGCGAGATCGTGCACCCGCACCAGCCCAACGTGCTCAGCCTCGCGCTCGACTGGCTCCCCACCGCATTCACACTCTGGATCGACCCCGGCTGCGTAGCCATCCGTCGCGGCGCCGGACCCGGTGCCGCATCGGCCGCGCTCGACTTTGACCTCCTCAAGCCCAGCTTCACCGAGTCCGGCCTCAACCTCATCTGGGGCCACATGGTCGCCCAACCCGCCGACCGCAGCGCACCGCAGCTCACCCTCAGCACCGCTCGGCGTCCGGCCCCCATCCTCAAGCCCGCCGCGCGCATCGCCGCTCCTCGCCAGCGCTACCCCGTGCTCTCGCACCACCACCGCGCTCCCTCCTCCTCGTCCTCCATCTCGAGCATCTCTGAGGGTCTTGTCCGCAGCGCCAGTCTCTCGAGCGCACACACGGTCTCCACCGACGCCACCAGCGTCAACGGCGCCGACTCCGAGTCGGACGCATGCCCGAGCCTCTGCTCGCCCGCCTCGTCGCTCGTCTCGAGCCAGTGCACGCCCGCACCCGCCTCGGACTCGGAGCATGACTCGGTGCACGACACCACGCTCGGCGACTCGACGCAGCGCTTTGCCGGCGTGCGCCTCTTTGACGATGACGAGCAAGACGCAGGCGACACCACCATCCACGCCGGCCCCCTGCTGGGGCTCAGCATGTCCAAGCCGCTCCAGTCTACGCCCGTCAAGTGCAACTACACCACGCACGACAACGGCAACGTCGGCGTGCTCGGCGGCGGCGTGCGTCTCGGCGGCGCTGCGCCCGCACCGCGACACCGTCAGCACTCGAATTCCAAGAGCATCAGCCATCTCCAGGGCGGTCTGCACAACCAGCTGCTGCCGCCCTACATGCCGCGGGCGCAGCTGCATCATGCTGGCCCGGCGAACTGGAGCGCACCGATGCACACGGTGCCGCTTCCGCCGATGCCCGTGTCGATGGGTATGGCACCGCACGGCTTGCAGCACCCGCACTATCCGGCGATGGCGGCGCAGCACGTGTG